GAAGGATACATTTTAAATGGGAGTCTAAGGGAGGTAGCAAGCTCCTGCTAAAGAATAAAAGGAGCATCTGCTTGCTATTGCATCACAATGGGTAAGAAATGTTGAGGTTGAAGTCTAGAGATAGAGTACATGACAGAAGGCGATTGAGGCAGGCATTCATGGGGTCCTCTTTGTTTATGTACAGGTGCTCTTACTTTGTAAAAACTCATGGGGACATTTGCATCTGAGGAGTGACTGAAGCAGAATTTGACAATATACTCTGACTATGAAGAGGCATCTGAAGTGCTCCGATGGGAAGATGGGTTGGGCATATGAAACCCAGGCTGAGTGTGATTCATGCTAAATAAAGCTGTGTGTGGGAAGTGAGTTTTGTAATATAAATTAGGCGAATGGCAAGTTTAGACCTGGATTAAATGGAATTGTCTGCGGCTGCTCAAATCTGAAGGGATTTCTACAAAAAGCAATGTACTGAGCTGTGAGATCATTGGCAATTATTCTACTTAATTGCTGGAGAACCAAGATAAGGAGGCGATGGCTTACCCACAGCTGCATTCTAAGCCTATGGCTCAGTGGAAAATTGAGTGAATGGATATTGGTCTGCAGCTCTCCTTGAGATAGTAGGACACTGAAGTCTGCTGCACGTATGCAGGTTTCTGCAAAATAGGATTGGGCGGAAGAGGCCCATTTTTCTTTGAAATATGAAGGTTGGCTGGTGGATAGGGTGGTCATTGTTTGTTGGATTGGTTTAGATATTAATATTTACAGAAAAGATACAGCAACTTTCCAGTTTGCTCTTAAAAGTATAATAGTTTAAAGGTAAAATAGTTTAGTAAGTGCAGTAGCAGAGTTTATGCATACTGATGAAATATATATGGTGACCACTGGAGCCTTTTTTCTGGCGGAATGCGCCAGAATCGCATTCTAGAACCTTTTTGTGGAAACGATATTCTCAAAAAATGTTTAAAAGTTCATGAGTGTCACCAGGGGGACCATGATGTGACATCACAAAAATATTAAAATAAAAGCTAAAGAATAAGATTTAAACAAGGGGATGCCTGGTAGCAGCTGCGGGCGAGCGGGGAAGCAGCCAGACAGCACAGAGGACTTATTGCTCTCTCTTGCCACTGAAGTTTGATGTCTATAAAGGCAAGCAGGTGTTTTATGTTATATCTGTAAGAGTGCAGTTGCAAAAAACAAACAAACCCAAAAGGGCTTGCTTTTCTGTGAGAGGCTAATTATAGAGGCTATTTTTGAAGTAAGAACTACATAATTTTAAAAGCTTAAGACGGATTGCCTTGCTTGGAGATAAGATTCTAAAAACCTCTTGTAAACTGCTACAGCTGTAAATCTCCTTTGGAGGCCTTCGCTTTCAGGAGTAATTAGTTACTGTGGCCATTTCTAGTGGTTGCTGCCCCAGTGTCCGCATACCTCCTGTCACAAATCTTCAAAGCAGCTTTGTATGGATGACTTCCTAAATAATGAAACTTGTGAATGAGTTTATTCCTTTTTCTAAAAATAGAACCATAGAGTTCGAAGGGATCTCCAGGGTCATCTAGTCCAACCCCCTGCACAAGGTAGGAAATTCACAAATACCTCCCCCCTACACCCCCAGTGACTGCTGTTCCACGCCCAGAAGATGACAAAAAAGCAACAACCCCAGGATCTCCAGCCAAACTGGCCTGGAGAAAAATTGCTTTCTTACCCCAACGTGGTGATCAGCATTTCCCTAGGCGTGTAAGAAAAGACTACAAGAACTAAGTACTTTAACAATTCTTCCTGCCCTCCCTTCTCATGATCTGCCTAAGTTCACACAGCACTGCTGTCAGATAGGCATCTAGCCTCTGTTTGAAAACAATTAGAGCCCACCACCTCCCGAGGAAGCCTGTTCCACTGAGGAACCGCTTCCTAATGTTTAGCCAAAAACTCTTCTGATTTAATTTCAACCCGTTGGTTCTGATCCGACCTTCTGGGGCAACAGAAAACAACTCCATACCATCCTCTGTATGACGGCCTTTCAGGTACTTGAAGATGGTCATCCTATCACCTCTCAGTTGTCTCCTCTCCAGGCTAATTATACCCAGCTCCTTCAACCTTTCCTCATAGGACTTGGTCTCCAGACCCCTCACCATCTTTGTTGCCCTCCTCTGGACATGTTCCAGCTTCTCTATATCCTTCTTAAATTGTGGTGCCCCAAACTGAATGTAGAGGCAGTCATTGTCAGCATGTGAATCCAGAATCAGATTTGAACTGGCATGCCTGCATGTCACCACTCAGTTGTGGCCACAATAGGGGAAGCCCTGATTTTAGTGACATCAGCCAAGGAAGCTCTTGGGTATAAAAGTTTTTATTTCAGGCTTTCTTGATGTTTTGAACAGTTTAAGTCCTGCTCCTGCAAGCTGTTAGACTTCCTCTTACTCCCTCCCCGCTTTTGTCTTGCCCAGCTTGGAGTTTTACAGAAGCTGAATCTGACAGATAATTGGGAAGGAAGCTGTGTGTATGCATTGTGGAGTGTTCAGTTTGGAAAGTTTCCCAGGCTGCTCTAGACGCTATGATTTATGTCACTGCTTTGACAGGAAAAGAGTGGGCTGGAAGGCAAATGCTCTTCTAATAGATGGATGAAAGATTGCCCTGTCTGAACTTGTTTGGTCCATACATTAAGAGAAATACGATGCCTGATAATTGTTGAATTATTCCAAAAGCTATCTATGTTCAGGTGGATAAAGGAAGTATACCTCTGTTGTTGTTACAGCCTTTGATACTGTGTTAGTGCTGAGGCACCTGGAAGGTGAGATGGGTCTGGAAAAAGCAGTGTTGAGATGGTTCCAGTCTTTCCCATCAGACCACTCACAAGAGGTTGCAATGGGAGGTGCTGAATCATCCCTTTTAGAGCTGGTGTGGGCAGTGCCACAACGCTGTTTGTTGTCTCCCATGCTGTTGAAAAATCTGTGGAAGGCCCCTTGATGAGATTGTTCATAGTTTTGGAGGAGGTTTTTTTAAAAATTAATATGCTGATAATATCCAGCTACATTACTCTGAATAAGCCACTGGTTGCTGCTGCCTCTGTCCTGACGCAGTATCTAAATATGATGGTTGAATGGCTGAGGGAGAACAACCTGAAGCTGAACCTAGATAAGATGGATGTAATGCTAGCAGGAAAGGCTACTGCTTTACAGGATTGTTCTTCCTACCATTAATGGTGTCCAACTTTCACTGAAAGGCTCTGTTAAGGACTTGGTAATGTAGCTCCAGCAAGTATTGGAGAAACAGGTGTCCGTAATAGCGAAAAATACTTTTTTCCAGGTATGTTAGGAAGCTGGCTCCCTGTTTATACACAGCTGATCTGGGTATGCTGATTGATGCTTTAGTAACCTCCGGGCTAGATTACTGTAACATGCTCTAAATGAGGCTGCTCTTGAAGACAATACAGAAACTTCAGGTGGTGCAAAATTTGATAGCACGTTGGTTATCTCGGGCTAGTTAGCTGGACCACATCATTTCCTATTCTAAGGTCTTTTCAATTCCTGCTTGGTTAGTTTCCAGGTCCAATTCACGGTGTTGATGCTTACCTTTAAAACACTTCATGACCTGGGGCCCACATACTTGAAGGACCACGTCTCCGTACATTCCTCATGCAGTTTCATTCTTCCAAGGAGGGTGTACTGTACCTACCTTGTCTGAAGCATGTTTGGCAACCATCCAATCTAGAGCCTTTTCAGTGGTTGCCCTGTGCCTCTGAACAGCCTCCCAGAAGGCGTTGCGGGGCTTCTACCCTCCAGGATTTCCAGGTAGGCTTCAAAACAGAGTTATTCCAGAGAGCTTTTGTGGTAGCCTGAACTGTGGCAATGGGAGAATACCCTGTCTGAGATTGATTTTTGTGTATTCATGTCTGTTTTAATGTTTTTATCAGTTGCTTTGCCCATTTTGAGAACTTTGAGTGTTCAGAATGCTGAATAGTTTAAGTCCTTACTGGAGAATATCCCTTAATGGACAGTTCTACTGTGTTGCTCAGATAACTCCAGCTTCATACTAAATAGAAATTATTTTGGAATCTGAGCCATGCAGGAGAGGGGCTGTGGCTCAGTGGTAGAACATCTGCTTAGTGTACAGAAGGTTCCAGGTTCAAGCCCCAGCATCTCTAGTTAAAGGGATTGGTGGTAGGTGATCTGAAGGACCTCTATTGGAAATCTTGGAGAGCTGCTGCCAGTAGACAGTACAGACCTTGATGGACTGATGTTCGATTCAGTATAATGCAGCTTCATGTGTTCAGATTTGGGTCAACTTAAAACATATATCAAGTCATGTTGAGTCTTTGATTTTGGTCTTTTACTTCTAATTTTAACATAATTTATACCTCTAGTGCCACATTCACGGGACTTATGTTTTCTCCTTAACTGAAATTCTTGATGCTTCAAGCATATGGTTAAAATGAAATTTCATTTGTAACTGAGTTACGAACTCTTATTTATTACACTTTTATCCTTCCCTTCCTACATGGAGCTCAGAGGGGCATATGCAGGTAGTCTTGTAATTTTAAAGAAGTAACCATGTTAAACTGTTATATCAAAATAATCAAGAGATTCAGTTCTGGGAGATAGGAGTAAAGTCTCCCAGGGTTTTGTTCCCTCATTCACTATAGGTATTAATAGTTCCACATGACCCACCCTTTGCATTTGTTAATTAGTTCTGCTTATCTGTCTTCACACTATACCTTCCTTGATTAGATTGTATGTTTATTCTATACTATCTTCTACTGTTAGGAGTGGTACTCACCCACTCTGTATAGATTGATTTGTAACAAAAAGTGCTTAAGGATATACATCTGATGAAGTGCACTCTGACTCACAAAAGCTTATGTTGGAATAAATTTTATGAGCCTTTAAAGTGCACCTGTACTTCTGTTTTACCTTGTATTTTTGTTATTTAGAGTTAGGTAATTAGAATTATAATGACCAAATTATTTTCTCTCTTTCTCTTTTTGCTCTCTCCCCCTTCCCTTCTAGAAATTAAGAAGCCACCAGTGGCCCCAAAACCAAAATTTGTGGTAGGACACAAACTAGTGCCGCCTCCTGTTGCACCCAAGCCAGATGTTGTTCTTGCAGATCTTTTGCAACCCGCAAAGAAAGCAAAACCAGCGATAGCACCAAAGCCAAAGGTTCTCAAGTGCTCATCCTTTCCTGACGTTAAAACAGCACCACTGTCTTTAACAAAAAATTCCAAGAGTTTAGAAACAGGCCAAGATGACTCTTCAGAATACTTAGTTAATTTGAATTACAAAAATGGAGCTCCAAGTGACAATACTGCTTATATTATATCAGTGTGTTCCTGCAATTTTGAATGCATTCATAAATATGGGAAGAATACATGTAAAAATTCTACCATTCTTGAACAATTGGAAAACCTAGAAAATCTTGATATAGGTGAAAAAACAGCATCATCTCTGAAACCTAGAACAATACTTGATAGCCATAATGAAAAAGTTATAAATAAAAACTGGGTAGTATTAAAGGCTAATTTTACAGAAGAAAAACTCAAAGGTGTTCTGACACATAGCATTTCCTCCAATAATGGACATTTGAGGCAGAAACCCTTGAATAAACTTGAAAACAACGGCATTAAAATAGAATTGAAAGACCTCATCCAATCCTCTTCTAGTTTGGAAGCAATTACGGTCAGTTCAGATACCACTATGAATGTAAGTAAGGTTACAGCTGAAATTTCAGAAACTCCTGTAGAAAAAGTGGATACTAGTGATTCGTGTCCAGATACCTACATAAAAGGAGGTGATGTATCTCTTGCTTCCTTTGGGACAGATGTAATTCCATCAACTAAAGCTCTCCCAGTTCCAAAACCAAGAAAACTACGTGTTCCATGCCTTGTTAGACAAGATGGTATAGATCTCCCAGCTGAGGGAATAAAAAGACTAGATACTTCCAAGTGTGATTCTGCTGGGCTTTGTGGTATTAGAAAAACAGCCAAAATTAATGTTCTTGTTCAAAGTGTTTCTTACAACAATCAAGAAATTATTCCCAAAGCTGATGAATCTGATATTACTACTTCTACTGCTGAGAAAATGTACCCAGCAAAGGAATATTCTGATTCAAAAGAACTGATCCCACAAACCCTCTTGCCTCAGGTTCTAAATGAAACCTCTCACGTGGAAGAAAATGTCGAACATTCTTTAGACCATAACACTATATGTTCTGCCAAAACTGTAGTAGACAATGATGGTGTATTGACTGCTAGCAATAACAAGACTAGCTTTATAAGGTGTAACAATCTTTCTATGAGCTTGCCTAAGCAATTAAAACTATCTTGCAATCAGCATTTGCCTGCCTTTAATAGCCTCGACTCTTCACAAAGAAAAGAAGATAAAGATGTGAATTTAAAAGGTGACAGTTCACCAAAAATAATTCCTAAAAAACCTCAAAGGCACAGCCTACCTGCAGCTGGGCTGTTGAAAAAGGCTGCATCAGATGAGTTTGTAGAGAAAAGGACTTATCTTCTTAATGAAGAGACACCATTGGAGACCTCTCTGGAGGGGCAGCGAATAAGACATTTATCTGCCAAAGAACAAAGTACATTGTTATCCTGTGATACTCCAAAATCATCTTTGGAGAAGCCTGTCTGGAAATTACCTCACCCTATCCTTCCATTTTCAGGCAATCCAGAAGCCTTAAAAAACACCAAGAGTTCCAAAAGCAAAGAGCATCCAAGTGTTGTGACAAAACCTCGAGCCAAATCTTTGTCCTCTGTGGATATTGACAGAATAAACAAGCCGCAAAGAGAAACTCAAAAGAAAAATTCATTAAAGAAATTTCTAAACATGAAATTATCTGTTTGTATAATAAAAAGTGACTTCCAGAGGTTTTTGGCCAAAGGCAGCCAGTCTACAGATGATACTGGTGTTACTTTTTCTAACAGGGAAGGACATGGCAAAAACTGGAATATAACTTGTGCAACCAGTGGAAGAAAAACTAAACCCTCAAAATGCAGCCCATCCTCACAAAAGGGAAAACAAAGATCAAGGAGCCAGAACGAAATGCCAGCCAGTCAGAGACCAGAGTCTTTAGATGAACAACCCTCCGCATTGCAAGAGCACTTAAATTCTTTTTCACATGACCTCACACCAGAATATGAAAATGTGAGTCATTATGAGGAAATCCCAGACTATGAAAACCTGCCTTTTGCACCCATTGAGAAAAATGCATGTTTTGAGTGGCAGAATTCTAGCAGTATTGAAGACCATGATGCTAACATATATGAGGTGGAAGAACTATATGAAGCTACAAGGAGCTATTCAAAGCTTAGCAGGTAATATATTGGGGTTAGGGACACACGTAGAATTTTGGATAATCAGTGTGGAACATGTCATGTTTTAGCAACCAGTTCAACTTTTCCGAATAATATTTGGATGGTGTAATATTATAATCTCTCTGTTGAACCTATTATATAACATGGTTTTAATTTAATATCATTATATCTTCTGTATAGTATGTTGGCACGTCCTGACTAGAAAAAGTAATGGGTAGAACTAAGGTTTTGCTGCTGGATTAGTGTAATTTCATATTAGGGCTGCCATTTTCACTCTGGGGGTGGGGATCCCCTGCCACCAGTGGGGGCTTTCTCACCACTGTTCATCTGGCTGGGGGAGGGGTATAGAAGGAAATTCAATGGTGTCCTGACATTACTCCCTCTGCACCTGGAAGTGATGTCAGTATGTCACCAGAGGACACAGGTTAAACCAGGGGTGTCAAACCTATGGCCCACGCGCCAGAACTTTAATCCAGCCTGTGAGTGGGGCTCTCTTCTCTCCCCCCTCCCCTGCTCAGGCCTATTTTTGGGCAGGAACAGGAACGGAGTTCCGGCTGGCTTCAGAGTTGGCCACGCCCACTACAGTCAAAACCTCTATGTGCGTGGCTACAGAGGGAAAGCCTGGAGAGCGACCCACCCTGGCCTCCCTGTGCCTTCCCTAGCCTGTCCAAGGGCCAGCTTGCCTGGGTTCCCCGCAGCAGTGGGGCCCCCAGGGAAGGCAGTTTAAACTGCCTTCCCTTCGGGGGGGGCTTGCCTGGACTCCCCGCAGCCGCGGGGCACCCAGGCAAGTCAAGGGAAGGCATGGGGTGTGGCCTATTATGCTAATGAGTTCCTGCTGGGCTTTTTCTATAAAAAAGCCCTGCCCCTGCTCATACTCTTCTTCTGAGCTTGAGCTGCCTCTGAGTGCAGGGAGTGGTGGGTGGGGCTCCCAAACTTCCCAGCTCGCTCGGTCTTTGGGTGCATTCCTGTCTGCCTCCCTGCCACTGCTCCCAGTCTCCATCCTCCTCCTCACAGGTAAGGGTCCCCGGGGTGTCCTTCTGCTGTGATCCTTGTGCTTCTTCTTGTTGTTTTAAAAATTGTATTGCCAAATCCCACTATTTCCCCACCTTTTGATTTTAGTCAGGCATCTTTTTTTTGGGGAGGGGGGAGGTTTGGGACCAACCACAGTTAAAATATAGAGTTCTACAAACCCAAGGAACTCCAAGTTTGCAGAGAAATATTAGTTTTAACACACACACCCTCCTAATGTGGGGCTCCAATGGAATATCTCCACTACCTGGCATTACATTTTATGATACACATGGCCCAGCCCAACAAAGTCCCATTTATGTCAGATCCAACCCTCATAACAAATGAGTTCGACACCCTTGGGTTAAACCATAGAGTTTGCCCAAATGCCAGAATGTCCCCCAGCAACATGCTGATGTCACTTCCAGTAGCAGGTGAGGTCACATCAGTCACTGGTGACATCATTATAGCACCAGCAAGAACCCCTGCCGTCAGTAAGTACTGCTGCTGCAACCCTATTTCATATGGCTTCTTCTAAAATAAAAGTTCAGATTTCTGAACTAGTAGTGTGCTAACTATTTTGCAGGTTATTGTTCTGTTCATTTGTAATAGCTGTGTTGTATAATTATTACGGAAAACAGAAGAAACTATAACTACCTAAATGAAACAAAATAGAATTCAGTAATGTATTAACTGGTGTCCTGTGAAACCAACTCTGAGTGACTTGGGATAATATGATCCTGCAGGAAAAGTGGAAGTATGATGTCCAGTGAACAAGCAAAGTTACTTTATGCCAAGTATCCATCTACCTGTGCACTGTCTGACCAGCAGTAGATCTTGGCTTTCCTAGCACCCAAGTAGAGATGCCAGTGACTGAAAGCTAGACGTTCGCGTAAAGTATGTGTTCTATTGCTGCCGATGGCCATGATGAGGTTCAGGCTTGAAAGCCTCACTTAAACTACTGGTTTGTCTTTCTAGGTCTCCTAATAGTGTTATATCCATCTATTCAATCAAGGAGCACAAAGGACAGTTCTTTGATCTAGAGAATATATGACATGACAAATACAAGAACTTGAATTTTCATATGTTATTATAGAAACTTTTAATTATTTGTTACAGTGCTTGTATAAATGGAGTTGTGTTTCAGGCTGAGATACTATCTGTGTGTCCAGGCTTTCAAGCCCTGTGCAATAATCCTTGAACTGTGTTAGTTAGCATTGATTTCCCATGAGTTTGCATCTGTACATGATTAGCAAGGAACCTAGCAAAACTTGTTAAGTTTGAATTTCCATATGCTTCCAGTGTGCAGATATGCTTCAATGTTCTTTCATATTTCTATTTCTTTGACATTTTGTACATAGCGTAAGATGTATGATGTAAACATTAACATGCAGAATGTACATGATTCTGTTGCAAACTTGTTTAAAGGGGCATCACATATATTGAAGTTTGCTGTGTCAGAGATACTTTTGACTTGTTGCATAAGAGCTAATGTTTGTCTCTGTAGCTTTAAACGTCTCTATGACCAAATACTGGCTTTGACCTAATCTTGTGCTTGCTTTACTCCAACACTAAATTCTACTAAGTCATTCTCAGTCAGTCCATTAAGATCAGTTGGAGAAGAAAGGCTGATGAAATTGGTCCTCAAAAACTTCGGTAGCTTTATGTTGCAAAGTGTAACAGTTGATATTTCCACATACCATTTGTAAATGTGATTCCCTTACCCCAGATTCCCAGATGCTTGAAGACGAGTAGGTGCATCTGCACTTCATGTGCTTGTTTGAAATACTGGCGTGCCTGTAAAGTCATTGGTTTGCCACCTAGTGCAAACTGTGCTCAGCCTTCATAGCAGAATACTGGCTACACAGGTAGGGCCCTTGCAGAAATCAGGTAAAGAGGCATATTCAAGGGTTGTGCTAGAAAATAATGGGGGATGGATCAATAAAAAGGACCAAGATTTGGAGAGGACAGAGTTTCTTGCATGTGTGAACTGGATAAATAGTGCTGTGGAAAAGTTAGTTTAAAACTGAGCAAGAGAGATAAACAGCCAAGGAAAAAATATTTTAGTGTGAGCCAGGGCTATTTTTGGGCAGGAACGCACAGGAACGGAGTTCCGGCTGGCTCCCGAGTTGGCCACGCCCAGCAGGAACTCATTAGCATAATAGGCCACACCCAACAGCAGGAACTCATTAGGATTGGCTACATTAGGGGTGTGTGGCCTAACATGCAAAGGAGTTCCTGCTACAAAAAAAAGGCCCTGGGTTTTGATAACAAACAAGTAAACAGAATAAGAACCAAAAGGTGGGTGTGGCTGGATGTCGACACTTCTGGTAACATGGGGGTGCGGCCTAATATGCTAATGAGTGGTGCTGTTAGGGGTGTGGCCCAATATGCTAATGAGTGTCTGCTGTTGGGTGTGACCTATTATGCTAATGAGTTTCTGCTGGGCTTTTTCTACAAAAAAAGCCCTGGTGTGAGCCACAGTTAAAGCAAGGCTGACATGAATCTTGAATCCATCCCAAGGACAAGTTTTGTTGTTCCCTTCATCCCCCCACCCATCTGAGTCAAGCAAGACCCCAAGTATCTTTTCTCCTACTCTGGCTGAACTTTTCCAGTGAAGGAGGTGCTTTTGATGTGTACCTTTTTCAGTAGAAAGGTTTTCAAACTATCCCATATTCATTTTAATTTGCACAAAGTTCAGCCCAGAGACTGACAAGCTTTGTTTTTAAAATGTCTTTGGAATTGTTTATTCTTGGACATCTCCCAAGAGAGAAAAAGGATGTTAGTTAACTCCAGTCCTCCTCAGCTTTCCTTCTTTTTGTTTACTTTTGCTGGGCAGCAGTGGTGCCAGTTGAGCATCTGTCCTTTTAGTCCTTCCAACCAGTGTTCCCTCTAAGCTGAGTTAGTGTGAGCTAGCTCACAGTTTTTTAGCCTGTGGCTCACATATTTTTGTCTTAGCTCAGGAAGGATGTCTGCAGAGCAAACTAATTTATGCAGTAGCCAAATCACTCTCTCACAACTTTAAAAGTAGAATTTCTGCTCACAAAACTCCACAGCTTAGAGGAAACATTGCCTCCAACTTAGGCCAGTTTTTCCTCTTCAGAATTTGATTAACCTATACCCAAATTTTTTCAGGGGGAAAGAAAATGAGGCATGAATGTAAAGAAGCATCAACTAAGGTTTTCCCCCCAAAGTATAGCAAAATATAGCTCATTCCCATAAAAACTTCTTGCCTATTAAGATCTGCAACAGAGGCTCTTTTTTATGCCTGTTTCAGAGACAGTGGCTGAAGACTAGTATGCAAATATATTTTAACCTAATCAATCAATTAAATGCCAAATGATTGATTACTTTAAATATTTATTTGGTTTGCATCTCTAGTTTTATTACTTTGTCTTAGAGAAAAGGAAAGGCAACCATTCCCCTTTCTTGATTCTCCTCATTCTGTCCCGTTCATGGTCATGTTTCATGTGGTAAATAACTGAGTTGCTCCCATGAAATGACCAACTGCTGTGAAAGTGTGCTGAATAATGCACTTCAAATCCACTATCAAAGCACTTTAGTGATCATTTTTAAGTGGGTTTTGCTGTTTCACACAGTAAAACCCATTGGCAGAGTGCGCTGAAAGTGGATTGAAAGTGCATTATTCAGCATGTGTGAAAGCAGCAGACAAGAAGTATAACATGGGGATGTTTTTCAGTGCAATATATGAGGTTACATCAAAATTGTACTGTAAGAAGCACTGGAACTTTTTTCTATTTTCCAACACAAAACTTCCTGTAATAGCAGTACAATGGTATGAATAGGCTTACCAGGTGCCTGTTAATGGCAGGCAAACTCTCAGTAATTCTTTCTGATGCCTGCCGATGCTCATCTGTTTGGTGGACAGAAGCAAGCCTCCAAAAAGCGGGGGGAGGTCAACAATATTTGTCAATGCATGATGATGTCACTTCTGGCATGACTCAGAGGTGCCATCATCATTTGATGGTGAA